TGACCAATGCAGGACAGGAAATGCCCAGAACAGGAAGTGGACCCTGCTGCCAGGGCCGAGGGCAGAGGAGGGAGCGGCTGCTTAACAGCACCACGTGACATGGTCATCCACAAAACAGAAGCAAAACCACAGGAAGTTACTGGGCAGTGGGCTCAGCACAGACCCACCAGCAAGAGGACAAGGGGTAGGTGGGAAGGTCACCCTGGGGTCTCTGCCCAAGTCCAGCCAGCCAGCAACAGGTGATTCAGAAATGGTCCAAGCCATGCCGAGGGCTGAAAGAACTCCCACGGCCCGCCTGTACCCCCAGGAAGACCTAGCCGTGATGCGGCTCCCCAGGCAGCGCGAAGTACCACAAGCCAGCCATGAAGGAGGACCAACCTGAGCTCCGGGGACTCCTTCCTCCCTGTTGCCCTTACCCGCTAGGCCCCAAGGAAAGGGGCAGAGGGTCTGCCGCAGCTCCCCAATGTGGCAGCGGCCTGGGGCAGGAGGGGATCTGAATCTTGCTGAGTGGGGTGATCCCTGTGGGGACCTGGACAGTGTGAACAGGAGCCAACCGTGGCCTGCTGGGGACTGGCAGGGCTTTCTCCTCAGAGTGGTGTCACAGCGGGGCGGCTGGCGCTTCCCTCCCAGCACAGGAAGAGGACCCACCTCGCCCAGCAAGTGACACGGGGTGAAGGCCACAGAGCCACAGGGGTTTTAAAAACAGGGCCATGTGTCCCACACGAGGTTTGGGTCAGTATCAGCTGCACGTGGGACACTAGGACCGTGGATTACAAGGAGCCAAGATGCAGGCACCTCCTAAAGACACGGAGCAACCGGGGCTCTGCTGGTCACAGGAAGCACGGCTCATTCAGGACACAGGACGGCACAGGATGCTCCTTGGGGCCTGGCTGTGCGCTGACCATGTCATCTCAAAGTGTTCGCCTTCCACTTGTTAAGAATAGAGGAAACTCACTATAGAGCCAGGCAGGGACGGGTGGCCGATCCACAACAGCATGCTTTACTGCGGCCCTCGACAGCAGCAAGAGGCCACGTGGCACAAGAGGCACATCCCAGCTCAGCCCTTGAGGACGTTGGGCATGGGTGAATGACACAGTCCCCAGTGTAACACTGTTGAGTGGCTCACGGCTGCTGCCCCGTAGCTCCACCTGCTGGTGTTCTGAGCTGCGGGCGCCATCTCCCCTTCTGAGGGATGCCTGTGCCCTGGGCCTGGGCGCCCTGGACAGCTGCTGCCCCTCCTTGCCTGAGTGTCCCCCACTCTCCACTCTGCCCATCCCTTCACGTCCCCCCACCCCACTGGCCTCAGCACAGATGCTCCCCAGATGCCTCACTAAGGCTGCAGTGAGCCCCCTGCGTGAGCACAGGACGCCTCGCCTTCCTGGGGTTGATTTGGGACACGGCTGCCCCTTTCTCTGGACCCTGGTTCTCCTCCCACTCTCTGGTGTCACTCCCTGAGTTTCCACGAAGGCTCGATTCACCCTGGAAGTATGGATGTCCCCTTCTCGTCCCCCCAGCACCTCTGGGCAACCCCCTTCTATCATTGATGAGCCGAACCCTTCTCCTGAGCCTCTGGTCACCTCATCTGTCCATCCATTCAATGGTCCTTTTTGGCATGCCCACTAAGTCCAGGGTGCTCATTGGGCACTGCAGACATGGCTCTGAGAGGGACAGCCGTGGACCTGGCTTCACAAAGCACACAGACCAGCGGGCCACACAGAAAGGCTGCTGGCCGGGAAAGCCAGGGAGGAAGCTGAGCAGGATTCAGGTGACCCCAGGGCTTCCTGGGGTGGGCCCCACGGCACCTGTGCCCCCCAGGAAATTTTGTACAAAGTTCCATCCATTTAAACAGGTCTGGGGAAGAGGACCTCCGGCTTGTGTCCAGTCGTCAAAAAGGCCCGACAAGTTAAGCCCAGTGGTCTGGTGATGGTCACTGAAATGACATCCCTGCAGAATAACCAGGGCTTGGTCCGTGAATCTGGGTGCCTTCTCCACACAAGAGATGAGAGCTGGGTCAGTGCTAACCAAAGCCTCCCACAGTAGACCCCAGCACAGGGGGCTGCGGACACTCCTGTCCTGTAGGCTTGGCTGGAGCCCTTGGAAGACGGGCCATGTTTCTCCTGTGGTTTTGGGGGACAATATCCCCTGGCCCCCAGCCCACAGCAATACCCCATACCAGCTGCCCATAATTCTCTGGGTGAGGAGCATGGTCGAGGCTGTCCAGACAGAGGGGGGCCTCCAGGGAAGAGACACAGAGCAAAGACAGAGTGCCCAGGGCCTAGAGGCCAGATGCACTCTCAGACCTGCTGCAGGTCCTTGTGGTCCTGAAGGAGAGGGATTTACTTTGCCAACACCTGGAAGGATCTAGATCACGGCATTCCTTGGAAGCCTGAAGACCTGACCATAAGGCTTCTGTGTGCCCAGCACCATCATGTGGGGCTGGTGGCAGGCCCTCCTCAGGTGGTACATGGTTCCACTCCACCCCACAGCTCCCACCCTGGCACTTGGCCTGGCCCTCTTTAGCACTGCCCATTGTCCACTCTGGTGCAGACGGAGAGCAAAGGACGGGAGAAGACCTTGGAAAATGACTCTTTGCCAGGCGGGAGGAAGAAAAGATAAGCAGGAAGAAACAGAGAGTGAGCAGGGATAGAAGGACGGGACCTCCTACGGCCACTCATCTCACTTCACGTGGCACGCCATGGCGTCTGGTACCTAAGGACTCCTCCGTCTCGGTGCTGTTTGTATTAAGAGAAGTTCTCATCCCCTTCACGAGAGCAAAATCATAACTATGAACATTCTAGCATCAAGGGAAGAAGGAGGCACCATGTGCTGGTGAGGAGGAAACCACCCTGTGGTTAGTAATGTCAGAAGGACCATCAGATGTCTCTCCTGCGATTTGACACCCCATCCGCGATTAACAAATTAAGCATTCGTAAGCGAATGTACATCCAAGGAGATCATTGGCACTTGAGTGTTTGGCGCATCAGAGGCACACACAACAGTAATGACTCACGATCACGACTCTGAGTCTTTAAAGTGCATATTAATCATCTGTTAATGACACCATAACTCATGGAACACAAGCTGGTTCTGCTCAGTGCGTGATGTCCCCAGAGACACCACTACAGGTGTTCTGGGCACCAAGGCGCAAGCTGTGAGCAAGCCTCCCCTCCATTGCCAATGCCCTCACTCTGCTACCGTCACGGCGGATGGCCAACCTCTCTGTGTGTCAGGGGTGGCTGGGGAGTGGGGGGCATCATTTGGCCAAAACATGAAACTAATGTCCTGAAGTCCGTCATTTCAATTTCACCCCTTTCACGTCTGGAGGCCGCTGGGTCTGCAAGCTTTGCCATTCAGGTTTACCTGTGGCTGAAGGCTGTGCCCTGGCTCTTGGGAAACCTTAGTGAGGTTTGCTACGTCTTAGCTCCCAGTGGGCCCAGCCGTGGCCCTGCCACCCTGCATGTGGTCCAGGTGGAAACTGAACTGTGACAGAGAGTTGGCTGGGAAAGGAACCCTCCTGGTACCCAGGTGGGCCCTGGTCTCACACAGCCTCCCACTTTCCACCTCAAACAGGAGAACACAGACCCTCTCAGAATTGGGCTCTTCTTATGGCAAACTTGCAGACCGAGAAAAAATCTGGGCTACCTGTAGCCAGTCCTCATCCCACGGCGCTCTCCCTTTCCCTTAATACCAACAAACACACCACTGGGATGAGCCAACAGAGACCCCGTCTCCAGCTCCCCTGACTTCAGACACTTGGTGTCCTCTGGCCCTCACTCAGGAGATGCCATCGCTGCCCACCCCGGGCACATCCTGCCCTGTGGAGCTTGGAAATAGGACGTCACAGGGACTTCGCAGACGTGATTCAGGGAAATATCTTGAGACGCGGCCACTGTCTTGGATTGCTCCTGTGGACCCCAAATGTAGCCACAGGGCTTTCTAAGAGGGCAGCAGAAAAATGGAGGAAGAAGCCGGAGATCGGAGAGGCCAGGCAGCTGTGAGGCCGGAGGGGCCTCCAGGAGCAGGAAAGGACCAGGAGACAGTTCTCCACAGGGGACTCCGGGAGGACCCTGGATTTCAGTCTCATTGGGCGCACTTCAGATTTCTGAGCTCTGGAACAGTCAGACCAGATCTGCACTGTTCTGAGTCCTCGTGGGTGCAGTCACTGGTTACAGCAGCAGGAGGAAGCACTGGGCACTGAGGCCAACCTGCTTCACTCAACACCCTGACACTCACACTTCGCAGCGGGCACAAGACCTGTGGACCCCCACGCCCCTCCAGGCAGGGACCTGGGGTGGGAGCCACATGGAGTTCCCAGGGGCCCTCCCCTATGCAAGATGCCACAACTATTGTCCCTTCCTGTGTGGAGCTATGTCACAAACAAGGGTGAGAGACTCTGCAGTTATTCAAGTCTCATGTAATAAAGTAGCTCCCAACCAGGGGCGTGCAAGTCCTGGCTGGAGAGAGCCTGACCCTGGAGCATCCCTAACCTCACGTGCTGGTTTTCCTGTCCACATATCCTTCAATGAATGGATAAGGTACAATAACAAGTCCCATGTGTAAAGTAGGCATAGTAAGAGGTTAATGACAGTAACTAGAAATAGAGCAATTGTAACCACAGAGCGTAATACAACTTATTTAAAGCGAATGAAGTGCTTATTTGGGGAATTTTCCCCACTTCCTATTTTCAAATCGACTGGCGGATGGTAACGGAGACCACAGAAAGCAAAGCCCCTAAAGCCACAGTCCTAGGAATTAAGGACCAAGGAAGAATAAAAAGTGTGAATGTGACCATCAGTCTAAAGTTTCAGTGTGGCTGTGTGGACCTGCAGCTGAAGGAACAAAGGGCAGGGTCCGCCCTCTGCAGGGAACTCTGATCTAAGACACCCGCCATTCCCCAGGGCTGCTGGCACCCTGGTGTCCCAGCACTCCCCACTCAATGGCTCCTCTGTCCTGGGACCTGGGGACCGACCGCTGACCCGCCAGAGCTCGCTGTCACAGACCTGATGGGGAGAGAAGGGTCCCCGGCATCCCACCAGTCCTTCGGGGGGCTGATGTACATGCACCACAGCTCCCAGCTGTAGCCATGGGCAGAGTTTTCGTAGCGCTGCACCTCAAAGTTGTCCTGCTTGATGTTGTCGATGGAGGGGAGGATCACTCGCTTCCGGTTCTCCTGGATGCGGGACAGGACTGGCTCAGCCCTGAAACAGAGAAGTGGAATCAACTCTCCCTGGTGGCCTTGGACGCGTGGGCCATGCCCCAGGCTCTTGCCCTCCTGGAGTCCCTAGTGATGGTGGGAGGGAGAACTCAGAACCCGGGGTGCCCAGTCCAGAGCGCCAGGCCTCCCTGTTGGTCAGTGACGGTAGGATTCCCACATTCCCACTGTTCTCCAGTGCCACACAGGTCACGACTTCCCCCTCACTAAGCCTCTTGCTGCTTCTGCTGGCTGACACTGAATGTCCTTTCCCCAAATAGGCCATGTCTGCCTGGATAGCCTGGTTTTAATAAGCGATTCGCTGGCTTCTTTGCATGTGTGGCTATTTCAGTTTTTTTAATTGATTATTTAATTGATTTCTTAAAAGGGATCTAATTGAATCGGTTAGCAATGGAAGGCCTGGAACTAATTAAACGCAAAGGCAGGCAGGATCCTGCCTCCTAGCGTGCTTTCTCTCTGAGGCTGCTGCGGGCTTCCACCGGGAATCTGGCTCCAAGTTCAAGGTGTAGCTGGCTGGCCTGGGAGAAAGCAGATGGCCAGGCACCTCTGCCAACGTGTGTCTCCCGGGCAGACCTGGGAAGGGGCCATTTCCCACATTTGAGAAGGACAAGATGGCTCTGGGTAGCCAAGGCATTAATCTCTCAGCTTAGACCAGAGTGCGGGCTTTGGAAAAGAGTCAAGGGAAATCCCGTTCCTCTGCATTATTTGGAAGAATAATGAGAGCGCTGGGTGCACAGCCCATCTCTGTTCATTTGCAGCTATTGAATTACCTGTGGGCTCATCTCATCTTTCTATTTAAAATGAACAATAAAATAGACCCCAGGCCATTTACTGCCTTCTACAGTCTGGCCTGCACCATTCCAGCTGGAGGCAGGCGGGGGCTCTCCTGGCTGGAAACCGAGCTTCAGGACTCGGCCCTCCAGGGTTCCACTCTGCCCTCCCCTGGGAATGCCCTTGGCCACTGGTAGAGAGCCCAGCACCCAGGAGGCTTAGATCCAATGTCACCTCTCCCTAGAAGCCCTCCCCAATTCCCCTAGGAGGAGGGTTTCCTTCCTCTGGACTCAGGCCACACCTCACCTTATTCAAGCTGCACAGCCTTTGTTAATCTCTGAGCTGCCACCTACCCAGCACCTGGGCCCAGGCACCATTTGAAATGATTTCCATGCACTGTATCCCAGAAGGGGACGCAGTGATCATCATTTACCAAGTGAGGAGACTGAGGCTCAGGGAGGGTTAAGCAGCTGGCCCTGGGCCCAAAGGCCATCTGGCAGAGAGGCAGGTATCTAACCAAATGATCTGTTTCCCACCTCACCCTATGACCTACTGCCTCCTTGAAGGGACCACGGGTGGCCTGTCGCTGTGCTGTGCGCAGAGAGCACTCAGCTCAGTGCTCCCTGTGCTGTCCCTCAGCACGAAGACCTAAGCCCTTGGTTGAAGTGATGTTGTTACAGGTGAAGTGTCGGAGTCCGCTGTGCACAGGAGGAGGGGCAACTCCCCCTGGGGACTGCTGCCCTACCTGGGCATGTCTGTGGACTGCCATGCCTCTTGGAGGGGCATGCTCCCACCCCAACCTCCCAGGAAGGCTGGGCTTGTGGGGGAGCTGGTTTGCCCATGGGGTCTGAGCAGGAGTGACAAGGTCACAGCTGAGCCAAAGCTGTAGTAGCCGCTGCAAGGTGCAGCCTTTCTTCTCCCTCCTGGCCCTCAAAATGGCATGTGGTAGAAGGAGGATCTCTTGTGACCCAGAACATAGAGGAGCTCTCAAGCAGAGCCATGGACAACCCACAGCCGACAGGCCGATGGACATTACCAGGTAGGGAGTTTGGGGAAGAGGGAAGAGCTGAGCCGGGGCAGTGGCAGCCAGAACAGGAAGAGGGAGCCAGTGAGGAACTGGTTCAAAGGCAAAATGGCTAGAGGTGGGGCTGGGTGGGGAGGGCCAGGGAGGGGACGGGAAGGAGGGCAGAGTTGAAGACTTGGAGGGTTAAAGGCAGGCAGCTGCCATGGGCCCCCAAGTGCATTGTTCAGGAGGCTCCCTGCTCAGTGATTCTCAAGCTGACTGTGTGTGTTCTGATGACTGGTGGTGACTGGTGGCCGGGGCTGGCTAGGGCGGGTACAGGACCCACACAGCTTCTGACTTCAGGGGTCTGGGAGGAGCCTGCCAACTGTGGATTTGCATTTCTAACAAGCTCTGAGGCTGCTGGTCTGGGGACCTGCTTCACTACTGCAAAGGGTGAACTACTCAGAAGCTCAGGGGACAGGTAGGAACTGAAGATGCTCAGCTTCAAGCCACCAGCATTGACAGCAGCAAAGAACCAGGCAAGGAGACTGGCCTGGGAGGTGAGGACAGATGCCAGTGTGCCCCGGGATGGGCCGTGTCCACAGGGACCTCAGCTGCCCTGTGCTGATCTGCAAGGCTCCTTGAGAAGCCTCCATTGAGAGGCCTGGGAAGTTGGCAGATGAGGACACATTTGAACGCTTTTGGGGACATCAGGATTTCCCCCCTTTAATACCAGGGATTGCACCACTGAGTCATGTTATCCAAGCCCTTTTTATGTTTTATTTTGAGACAGGGTCTCCCTAAGTTGCTGAGGCTGGCTGTGAACTTTGACTCCTCCTGCCTCAGCTCCCGAGTCACAGGGACTTCAGCTATGTGCCACCATGCCTGGAAAGACACCAGTTCTTTAAAGCTGGTACTGTGAACAAGTTATTCAAGGGTATCGTTGGGTGTAAATCAACCTTTTCTGTGAAGACAAGACTTGGCTTCTTTAACAAGCTGACATCACAGTCAGGGTGTTAGCTGGGCCCTGGGAGGAGGGGGTGGGGGGGTCAGAAAAGGGTGAGTGACAGGAACATAAATGCAGTTTAATAAGAGCATTAAATTCTCAGGGCACAGTAATGTGGACTATAGTTAGCTGTAATCTATTGTATATTTCAAAATAGCTACAATGTCCCCAACACAAAGAAATGATAAGTATTTGAGGTGACAGGTGTGCTCAGTATCTGATTTGACCAGTGCATGCTGTAGGTGTGTGTAAAACACCACACTGTACCCTGTGAATAGGTGCAGTCATGTGTGTGGATTAAAAAAAAAAAAAAAGAAAAAAGACTCTTCTCTCCAATAAGCGACTCCAGTGCAGCCTGTCAAGCCTCTGACATGACATGGAGTTGTCCCCTGGGGTGCCCTTGGACCCGCCTCTCCATGGGGAAGTCCTGCTTTGGCTTCGCCGTCTCACTGTGTGAACTGGTGGTGCTGCCTCTTGCTTCCACAGGCACAGCCCTGTCCCTCAGTTCTTCTTTCTACCTGGGAAAACCTCAGGGCCACATCTACGGAGAATAAAGCTCCTCTTCCTCCCGTGAGACCAGAGCCAAGACCCTGAAGCCGGAAACTGCCACGAAGGTGGAATTATCAGGCCTCCTCCCGAGAAGAGGGAACGCGTCAGTGGGGAGAAGATCAACACAAACACAACTGCTGGGTCCCCCGCCCAGGATCGTTGTGCGTTCTGCGAGAGGAGTGTCGGGCCCGTTCCTGGGCATGAAGATCAGGCTGGTAGATGGGACAGGCAGTCAGCTCCCCTGTTTTTCTCCCAGCAGGACTCCCACCTCCTCCGCCACCCTTTTTCATCCCTCCAGTGGCCCCTGAGGAGCAGGTGGAGCGTGCCCTCCCCCAGGTTACAGCTCCTTCTAAGGGCACAGAAGGCCCTAGTGCTCCCAGTGTCGGCCTGTGACCTACCAGCCAGCAGTGAACTCCACATGGGCGTCAAAGAAGCCGGTGACCTGGCCGGTGGCCACCTTCCAGCCCTCGATGCGCGCGCGGATCAGGCCCTCTCTCTTCTGGTTACGCACCACCTTCACCAGCCCGGGGTAGCGCTTGTGCACATACTCCTCCAGCGGGGCCTTCAGCTCCTCTGCCAGGGACAAGAGCAAGAGGTCCACGGTCAGGGCATCTCCATGGGCAACCAACCCGTGACGCTTGCATACCCTAAGAGGGTTGAGTGACTGCAAAAGTGTCAATGTCGGTAAGGCCAGTGGAAAGGTGGCCCAGTCCGAGGGCAGCCTCACTTTGGACAGCTGCACTCTGAGGACCACTGGGTCATAGCTGGCCGTAATACGGCCCTGGCTTCCACAGCCCAGCTGCTGCAGGCAGGCAGGGGTCCTTTGGGATGTCTTTTCTTTGTGGCCCTTCTACTTTCTTAGCTAGTACCCCTATTGCCCCAAAGCCCCCGGGGCCTTCTGGTCAACTCCTAAGTGGACTCTCCCTGTGCACAAACTGCTGCTCATGGAATGTGTGCTGGCTGCCCAGATGCAGGGCCACAGGCCAGATTCACCAGGGACAAGGCCTGTGCTGGTCTTTGCCCAGCAGCAGAAATCCTGCTGGGGGCGGAAATCCTGCAAGGCTGCCGACACCTGAACACCGCCCTCCGCCCCTTGGCAGCAGCAGCAAGCGGATGAGAAGGTGTTTCATTTCTGTGATCTAATTTAATCCTGAAGCAACCCTAGGAGGTTGCTAGACTAATTCCATTAATTAGCAAGATTAATTCCATTTTGCAAATTAAGATACAATGTGAGGGAGGCCAACCTGTCCTAAGGTCACACACCTAGCAATGAAGAGCTGAGACCTAATCCCACCGTGCGCCCTCGTAGGTGGAGGTGGGGGCTGGGCAGACAGCACATAGGGGAGGGATGCCCGGGTGCACCCCAAGGATCTGCACAGAGTCTCCCCCTGGGGGTCACTCCAGGAGCTGCATGGGTGATTCTGATGCAAGCAGGTCCCCAGGTGGACCTTCCAGAAATGCTTTTACCTCTGGGTTTACTGTAGAGAAAGCTAGAGAGGCTGCATTACCAGACATTGTCACATCCTAGATAAACCTGGCAGCCTACATAAGGGTCAGCGGTTTGCGTGGTGGCTGTTGTGCCTGGAAAGAGGCAGCCCTGTGACCCCAGGAGAAACAGAGAAGGAGTGTTTAGACAAACGGGGCAAGAGGACCCAAAGGGCAAGGGCACAGGAAAGGCGCTGTCAGTCGATGGCCCCGTGTGGGGAACGAGAGCACAAGGCACCCAACCGTGTCCCCACAGAACTCTGCTCTTGAGTCCTAGCCCCGTAGCTCAGAATGTGGCTGTGCTTGAAGACAGGCCCTGTAAAGGGACAGCTGCGTAAAGTGAGGCCATTAGGGGGGCCCGGTTCTTAAGGACTCATGTCCCAGAGGTGGAGGGACTCAAGCAGACATGCGGGGTGTGTGGGCACCGAAGGACGACCATGGGATGAGGTAGCAAGGGGGGTCGTCCAGAAGCCAAGGAGAGAGACCCAAGGAAAGCACCCCCACCACGCCTTGATCTTGACCTTCTAGTCTCCAGACTGTGGGAAAACACCTTTCTGCGATTCACCACCTGCGGTCCAGGGAGCTCTGCTGTGGCTGCCCCAGAAGACTACTTGAGGGCGGCTGATGACCAGGTGCCATCACCCTTGAGGAGGAGGACCTCTGCCATGGTCCAGCATGTGGGTGGGCTGAAGCTGCAGGCGTGGGCTGTGGGCACCCTGGGCCACTCTGGGCAGGTCAGCCCACTCCTGCCTCCACTCATGGTCTCCAGAGAGTGAGGTGACCGGAGGAGCAGGTGCACCTGGGGATGATGGGCAATGCTAATCATTGTCCAGCCTTATGGACATCAGGAGTAAATGGAATTACATGTGAGGGTTTTTTTTTTTAAATTTTTTATTGTTGGCTGTTCAAAACATTACATAGTTCTTGATATACCCTATTTCACACTTTGATTCAAGTGGGTTATGAACTCCCATTTTTACCCCATATACAGATTGCAGAATCACATCAGTTACACATCCATTGATTTACATATTGCCATACTAGTGTCTGTTGTGTTCTGCTGCCTTTCCTATCCTCTACTATCCCCCCTCCCCTCCCTTCCCCTCCCCTCTTCTCTCTCTACCCCCTCTACTGTCATTCATTTCTCCCCCTTGTATTATTTTTCCCTTTCCCCTCACTTCCTCTTGTATGTACTTTTGTATAACCCTGAGGGTCTCCTTCCATTTCCATGCAATTTCCCTTCTCTCTCCCTTTCCCTCCCACCTCTCATCCCTGTTTAATGTTAATCTTCTTCTCATGCTCTTCGTCCCTACTCTGTTCTTAGTTACTCTCCTTATATCAAAGAAGACATTTGGCATTTGTTTTTTAGGGATTGGCTAGCTTCACTTAGCATAATCTGCTCTAATGCCATCCATTTCCCTGCAAATTCTATGATTTTGTCATTTTTTAATGCAGAGTAATACTCCATTGTGTATAAATGCCACATTTTTTTTATCCATTCATCCATTGAAGGGCATCTAGGTTGGTTCCACAGTCTAGCTATTGTGAATTGTGCTGCTATGAACATCGATGTAGCAGTGTCCCTGTAGCATGCTCTTTTTAGGTCTTTAGGGAATAGACCAAGAAGGGGAATAGCTGGGTCAAATGGTGGCTACATTCCAGCTTTCCAAGAAATTTCCATACTGCTTTCCAAATTGGCTGCACCAATTTGCAGTCCCACCAGCAATGTACAAGTATACCCTTTTCCCCACATCCTCGCCAGCACTTGTTGTTGTTTGACTTCATAATGGCTGCCAATCTTACTGGAGTGAGATGGTATCTTAGGGTGGTTTTGATTTGCATTTCTCTGACTGCTAGAGATGGTGAGCATTTTTTCATGTTCTTGTTGATTGATTGTATGTCCTCCTCTGAGAAGTGTCTGTTCAGGTCCTTGGCCCATTTGTTGATTGGGTTGTTTGTTATCTTATTGTCTAATTTTTTGAGTTCTTTGTATACTCTGGATATTAGGGCTCTATCTGAAGTGTGAGGAGTAAAGATTTGTTCCCAGGATGTAGGCTCCCTATTTACCTCTCTTATTGTTTCTTTTGCTGAGAAAAAACTTTTTAGTTTGAGTAAGTCCCTTTTGTTGATTCTAGTTATTAACTTTTGTGCTATGGGTGTCCTATTGAGGAATTTGGAGCCCGACCCCACAGTATGTAGATCGTAGCCAACTTTTTCTTCTATCAGACGGCGTGTCTCTGACTTGATATCAAGCTCCTTGATCCATTTTGAATTAACTTTTGTGCATGGAGAGAGAAAGGGATTCAGTTTCATTTTGTTGCATATGGATTTCCAGTTTTCCCAGCAACATTTGTTGAAGATGCTATCCTTCCTCCATTGCATGCTTTTAGCCCCTTTATCAAATATAAGATAGTTGTAGTTTTGTGGATTGGTTTCTGTGTCCTCTATTCTGTACCATTGGTCCACCCGCCTGTTTTGGTACCAGTACCATGCTGTTTTTGTTACTATTGCTCTGTAATATAGTTTGAAGTCTGGTATCGCTATACCGCCTGATTCACACTTCCTGCTTAGCATTGTTTTTGCTATTCTGGGTCTTTTATTTTTCCATATGAATTTCATGATTGCTTTCTCTATTTCTACAAGAAATGCCGTTGGGATTTTGATTGGCATTGCATTAAACCTATAGAGAACTTTGGGTAACATCGCCATTTTGATGATGTTAGTTCTGCCCATCCATGAACAGGGTATATTTTTCCATCTTCTAAGATCTTCTTCTATTTCTCTCTTTAGGGTTCTGTAGTTTTCATTGTATAAGTCTTTCACCTCTTTTGTTAGGTTGATTCCCAAGTATTTTATTTTTTTTGAAGATATTGTGAATGGAGTGGTTGTCCTCATTTCCATTTCAGAGGATTTGTCGCTGATATACAGGAATGCCTTTGATTTATGCGTGTTGATTTTATATCCTGCCACTTTGCTGAATTCATTTATTAGCTCTAATAGTTTCTTTGTAGACCCTTTTGGGTCTGCTAGGTATAGAATCATATCATCTGCAAATAGTGATAATTTAAGTTCTTCTTTTCCTATTTTTGTGCCTTTAATTTCTTTCGTCTGTCTAATTGCTCTGGCCAGTGTTTCGAGAATTATGTTGAACAGAAGTGGTGAGAGAGGGCATCCCTGTCTTGTTCCAGATTTTAGAGGGAATGCCTTCAATTTTTCTCCATTCAGAATGATGCTAGCCTGAGGCTTAGCACAGATTGCTTTTACAATATTGAGGTATGTTCCTGTTATCCCTAGTTTTTCTAGAGTTTTGAACATAAAGGGATGCTGTACTTTGTCGAATGCTTTTTCCGCATCTATCGAGATGATCATATGGTTCTTATTTTTAAGTCTATTGATGTGGTGAATAACATTTATTGATTTCCGTATATTGAACCAGCCTTGCATCCCAGGGATGAATCCTACTTGATCATGGTGCACAATTTTTTTGATATGTTTTTGTATCCGATTTGCCAGAATTTTATTGAGGATTTTTGCATCTAGGTTCATTAGAGATATTGGTCTGTAGTTTTCTTTCTTTGAAGTGTCTTTGTCTGGTTTAGGTATCAGGGAGATGTTGGCCTTGTAGAATGAATTTGGAAGTTCTCCCTTTTTTTCTATTTCCTGAAGTAGCTTGAAAAGTATTGGTATTAGTTCCTCTTTAAAGGTTTTGTAAAACTCTGCTGTATACCCATCCGGTCCTGGGCTTTTCTTAGTTGGTAGTCTTTTGATGGTTTCTTCTATTTCCTCAATTGATATTGGTCTGTTTAGGTTGTCTATATCCTCCTGACTCAATCTGGGCAGATCATATGACTTAAGAAATTTATCTATGCCTTCACTATCTTCTAATTTATTGGAGTATAAGGATTCAAAATAATTTTTGATTATCTTCTGTATTTCTGAAGTGTCTGTTGTGATATTGCCTTTTTCATCCTGTATGCTAGTAATTTGAGTTCTCTCTCTTCTTCTCTTTGCTAGCATGGCTAAGGGTCTGTCGATTTTGTTTATTTTTTCAAAGAACCAACTTTTAGTTTTGTCAATTTTTTTCAATT